GGATATCACCTTTCCTGTGTGGCTCCAGGTCTCACGGAACCTCCTGACGGTGAGTTCTGTTCACGTCTCGTTTTGTTTCATAAAGTTAAGTGCTCAGTGTCTCTGATGATGAAAACCTCTTGTGACTGGAAGTTGACTTGTTGGTTGCTTTTTTATTTTTATCACATCTCATGGGACAAGTAAGTTTAACGGATCCTATCACTTCGTTTATATGTGTGTAGGTGGCCATCCTACAATGCTTCCTTTTCTCAGTCTAATGGGTGCACAAAAGAGCACCGCAATCTTAGTGTTTGCATACAACTATTATTTTTATGGTTTGATGGTCGTCAGCCGCTCTCAGGATTTTTAACGTTCTCGAAGTTGATGGAAATAACGCGTGTTGTTTTCTTTGCTGGCTTAAGGTAAGGAAACTTCATTTAAGTTGCGAATTCTCTCCACTTTTCCATATCTTTATCTAAAGACACTGAGCTCTTCCACAAACTAGTTTTCGATTCATTTTTCAGGAGAGACGGCGCATGGGTTGGCAGTGATATAAATGAATTTGAAGCCCGAAATTCAGATGTAGTTTCCTTTAATGCGACATCCATTTTTTTTTACCTAGAACTCTTAGTGAGACAGAGTGTCAACAGTGATTTTATTGATACATTCAGTAAGTCTTAAATTCAGGCACCTGGATCTGTCCCATCTGTGAGCGTTACCCCGAGGGTCACACCCAACCCGGCACTCATTCTTCTCCCTCCCGTGAAAGCGCCTTATCGCCAGCGCTGATGACCACTGCCACACAGAGCTCACTTGATCCCCGACTAGAGGCGGCGGCTCTCTGTGATATGCTGACGGACTACGAAATCCAAATGATACAGCGAGCTCTGCAAAGCTGTGGCAGTGCCAACAAAGCAGTCACAATGCCAGCAAAGAAGTCCAAGGCGTCAAGACCAACCAAGTCGGAGTCTTTATTGAAATCTAGGAGGTCCGGCGTTCTGGTCCAGAAAACACTCACCAACTGGGCTCTTAAAGTCGAAGGCAAATACAAAAGTTAGTAGCTCTGTCACCTGTGATCAATATGGAAGAGGAGGTTAAAACTTACTCTGTTGAGGCTGCAAACGTTTGAACTTTTGTCTAGGGATGATTTGGGGTGCAAGTTTAAATGCTCTTGGAATTGTCTTACCTTTAGCATTGCATAACATTTTACTATGGTGTTAATTGTGAAATGTGACATAATCCATGTGCTCTGAGGACTAATGACGCCTACATAAGAAGGGGAAGGAAGGATATCGTGTCGTTTCCCTTTGGCTAATTGGCATTGTAAGTGCTTGAATAAACTCGTAGATCTCTCACCATTTAACCAGCATGGTTAAGAATGAAGATGTACCATTTTCCTGTTCACGAGTATTGGAAGTCTACAGCTAACGCCAAAATTAGATTAATTGAAGGCTTTTTTCCCGCAGACCCTGTCACCACAACAAAGCTAGAGGCAAACAATATATTATCGACTGGGCACGTGGCCACTCCACGTAGCATCTTGAACACTACTGATGTTGTCTCGGTTTCTTCCGCTACCAATGCGGATGTACGGACTACGCGTTCTGCTGCGCGTCGTTCATCGGCGTGCACCTCAACCGATGTCTCCCCAACTCTGCCCTTTAAGCGGTGCAGACTAGGTTCTACTGCGTCGGTAGCCCTTTCGTTACGTACCCAAATTCGTGATCAGAACGAGTTGCGACAACAGCGTCAAGAGTATTCCCAGTCATTCGGTGGGTAGAACCGTCCCGCAAGTCCTAAACCTATTTATTTGGGTCTCTAACCATTTGCAATTACAATTGTCTGCAATACTAGCAGTGACGTTGCATGACATCCGGCGGTTTACCAATTTGTCACTTGGGCAAATGCGTCTTCACCTTTCTACTATACGGTGCTTATGCATAATATTCGTAATGATCTAGTGAGGCTTTAGCAGCATCAGCAGTGAATGCTTTATTACCGCCTCATTTAAAGTTGGAGTTGAATAGCTGTAGAATAAAATAGACGCTAAAATATGATTCGATTATTTTGTGTATGAATATGTTAACAAACAGCCGTAGTTTGGGACTGGTTTTGGGTGGCCCTAGAAACTACCTTTTGTCCTTATTAGGGCGGTTCTAAACCATGGTTTTTAAAACGAAATCTTTCACATTGTCTGCGGTTATTAGATATACAGAGAATGGCTGACACGTTCAAGGAGTGCTATTTTGATACCAGAGTGTTTTCCTTATCAGGAATTAATCAAGCTCCAATATATTCTTTCGCTCTTTTACTCTTTCATTCCTGTGGCATTTCACTCCGAATGCTTGGAGTGTTCCCTTTGTGCCATTGCTTTGGCCGATTTGAAAGTGGATAGGCTGATGTCGAAACCGATTAATTTTTTTGTCACATCACCCCATACATGACTCATCATTATGACCTGAAAGCGTAGTATGCCTTCTGCACACACTAGTCCCATTTCGATTCAGTACGCCAAACATTTAACGTCAAATCTGATCTGTTCGTGCCCCTGTATGTCGTATTTGTGTGTTCTTTTTTATGCTTCAGCTGAACCCGACACCTCTCCTGCTTCCAAATTTGTTATTCAGGAGCGAAGGCGTCAAGGTGGACGTCGGAGGAGGCGACATTCATCACCAACCGCTCTTCACCTAATCAAAACGGGCATCAAACATCTTCGTCGCAGTTCAGGACGTGGACGTTCCTTTGGAGGTGTATTACGTGACTCAGATATTGAGGAGAATTCTGTCGATACTATTGCCGCAGATTTTGTCGATGGAAAGGCAGCAGGAGAAGGCTCTTCAAAGGCAGTGACGAACGGTGAGGTAATTGAGATAAAGGGTGACGGAGAGAATGAAAATGGACAAAAGAAGGAGGATGAGAATGACGATGACGAGGAAGATCCCCGCTTTCGAATCATTAGGGATGCAGATCGGAAACTTTTCCAAAACGTCCAATCCCGTGTTCAGGAGGTGAGGCCATTTTTGGCCTAAGTCATGCTTTTGTTCGGCTGATTTTTCCAGTCACCAACTCCCATTTCCCGATCGTAAAACTGCCCCACGACTTCATAATCCTTGGGTCCTCAGTTTGCAAACGGTTTGTAAATGACATTTTTTGGGATCCGCGTAAGCTTCCGATTGGGCTTGCGGATGGAGACAGTAGGCTATCTTCATCAACACCTGGTCTATTCCTAAAAGCAAGCAAAACGGAACTGTGTGGGTATAGTAGGAGTACGAGAGACTAATTGCAGAAGTCCTGCTGGGAACTTCTACGCTGTGAACGGGTTTTTAATCTAGGTAAAATAATTTTCTACTCCCTTACCTTTAATTTCCTGCACGCAGTGTCTTCCACAGTCACTGGAGAACAGCAAGCAGCTCCCACCTACAGATAATCCCCGTCTGTTGAACAATACTAACGCTTCATCGAGGACGCGAACTTCAACGGGATCGACTCTGCTGAGGGAGATCCCGTCTCGATGCCCTCCTCGAATCCAGTTTGGCAAGTACTGCATCACCACCTGGTACTCTGCGCCATATCCATCTGAATATGCCAGGTAGGATTTTTTACCCGCTTTATATTGGCGTCGCCTTAATGTGGATTCCTTCATAGACGATTGTTTTGGTGTATTGTTCCATCATTTCAGTTTGTCCACACGGTAAGGTGATAGGCCGTTATTATTTCTATGCTTCGAGCAGTGTTAGCTGCAGAATCATCACGGAAGGCCTTATGAATCCTAACCCAAATACCTTCATTATTGGGATACAATGGAAATGTAAGATAGGTACGTTTACAGCCCGAATCGAGAGATACTCAAGAAGATGTACGGTTACATCGACCGTTTTTACGATTTTGGGTGGTTCGAAAATATCTCGTCTTCTAACTGAATCTATTTCAGCAAAATGAAAATATTGCCTCTTTTTCTTCCATCTGAATAATGCTTAGCTCCTTGTTCAGGAGGGCCTCAACTCTGATCCCCCATGTTGAGAAATACCGGTTATTTAGCCGATGTAGTGATACTTTCGGAAATTGATCACACGTATGAGTTGCGTTAGATCTAAGGAATTATTTACACTTGGAAGATAACTGATCTGTGGGCACGATGATTGTGAATTCCACTATGAGACTCAGCAACTAGAAGCTTAGTTTTCATCGGTCAATTATCCTTGATTTATCCGTTTAACTCCAAGCTGAAGCGCTGCTTCTGACGCCATCGAGCTCAGGTCTCTGGCCAAATGCAATATGCTTCTTTATTTTCTATTCTCCACGTATTGATGATGAAAAATTACACCTCGGGCCTGCAAGATGTCGGAATGATATAGTACCAATTCTCGCACTAACTACACGAGCTGTGAATGACTTGCATTGTTTTTTTGCGGTAAGGCGTATTTTTCTCAGCCTATTTAGTGCCCATTTTTGAGGTTATCTAATCACTCTGTAACTCGGGTCGGTGTCTTGGTTGTACGGCATTGATATTCATTTACTCATTACTCGGGCGCCCTTTTAACCATAAGTGAGCCAACACTGATCTACATTCACTCCACCTTCAATTTTCGAGGTGACATTTTGGACAATTTATCACAGTTTAAATTCTTGTACAAATAAGAATCATGAAATTCGTGAACTTCTACTATCCTTGTCCAAACTGTTCTCACTGAGTACAGAAAATTTAGCATGTGTTGCTGGTGACCGGGTTAATATCCCTTAAGGGGCTACTCTTTTTTTCTTAAGAAATCGTAACCTTGTATTTTGCTTAACCTTTAGGTTGAATCTACTTTACATTTGTGAATACTGCTTGAAGTACTTCAAGACAGAGGATGTCTTCAAGCGGCATATGGTGAGGTCCGACTACTTTTCACATAGGAGCACTCATACATAGCTGCTTTGTCATTCTTTTGCAATTTTGTTGAATTTTTCTGTTCAACTCTCAGGTGATGCGCTTTACTATTTGAATGGGTTTTAAATGCATCTATAAGGAGTAGATACATCGTACGGAGGTCGTAACCTGGTAGATTAAATTGGCACGCATCGTCTTCCGCAAAACACTAAGTAGCCCAACTTTATAGTTAGTCAATCGTATGCGCAAGTCCGTATTTTTCTGACATTTTGTGTGAAATGGTTTTTTTTGCGCTTAAATGTTCCTGTTTATTTTGCTTGATCTTAATTATGTTCTTCCTGTTCCAATGCTTTTTTATTGTCTCATCACTGCAGAGCAAATGTACCACATTCTATCCACCGGGAAATGAAATTTACCGATGTCAGAACATCTCCGTCTTCGAGGTGGATGGTCAGATGTCTAAACTTTATTGTCAGCAACTCTGCATCTTGGCCAAGTTGTTCTTGGACCACAAGACCCTCTACTACGATGTGGAACCCTTCCTTTTCTATGTGATTACCATTCATGACCCACGTGAGGGTTTCCATTTAGTTGGTTATTTCTCCAAGGAGAAACGCTCAGCCCAGAAGTACAATCTTAGCTGCATTATGGTACTGCCTCCCTATCAGAAACAGGCCTATGGACGTTTCCTCATCGATTTTAGTAAGCTTGCTTCAACTGCTTTGATACCTCGTTCCGTCTTACAGTGTTCATTGTATGTGTTCCTGAGAGTCTTCGGCTTATAATTGGCGTACTAGTTAGCCTAGTAGCTTTGGGTACTCTGCTGAACCGAAGTCATCCGAAATTTGCCTATTTTATTTTTTACATACTCATGCTATTCCACATTTGTGGCTACTCATCCTTTCAACATCTTGTTTGAGGATTGTATGAGGGTTTGGAGTTCGATGGACTTATAAA